CTTGGTGGCTCCATAGGGAGCGGAAGGAGCTGCACGGTTGGGGCGATAGGAAGTCATCGAAGCCGTGAAGACAATAGACCCCTTAATTCCGAGGTCGATGAAACGACGAGCGACAGTAGTAGCGCAGAAGTAAGCGCCGAAGACGTTCAAGTTGAACAATTGATCGATCTGGGCGCGACTGAAGTCGAAGGCAGGCTGGTGTTTCGTCATGCCGGCATTGGCAATGAAACCGTGGATGGCACCTTGTGCGGCGATGACAGCGTCGATGGCAGTGTTGACGCTCTCCTCGGATGTCACATCACAGTGGACGTAGTGAAGTCGCTTGGGATGAGCTTTTTGAAGGGCAGCGAATTCCTCGCCGGGCTCAAAGATGTCTAAGCTATAGATAGCCTCTGCGTCGTTGGCGAGACACACTTGTGCGAGAGCCAGCCCAATACCCCTGTTGCCTCCGGTAATTCCAATTACTTTTCCCTTCAAGGACACTTTCCAGTCATAGTCTGGGCCTGGGGTGGTGTCGAGAAAAGCTGGTGCCGTGTTGGATGCGGTTGCATTGCCGTTGGCGCTGGTCGCTGGGGTGTCAAGCATACTTGGAGGCATAGTGGAAGATGTGTTTAGGTGATGTTAAGATTATTGGAAGGTTGGCTACCTCTCGCAGGGGGCGACTTGCCTATTTTAAGTTTCTCCAATTTTACTTGGTGGTCCATAAGATAGCACTGCTCGATAGACAGGCGTCGCATGGCTCTCTGGGGACATGCTCGTGCTGCCACGGGTTGGCCATTGCCTCAGTTCTCTGGGGAAGAATGTGGCCAATGGGACACAATTGCGATGGTCTTCGGTTGCCGAAGCGAGTCCAAGTCAATTTGCGATCTGCATGCAATATTCTATGGGCCGGTGGGTCTTTCAGTGCCTCGCTTCGAGGCCACCCCGGATCAGCGGTGGTCGGGGCGCATCTCGGTATCTCCACACGGTATCTCGCTTGTTGCAGTTTTTGTCCTTGGCCACACTATCGACGCTCTCTCCTGTTTCCGCCCAGGCCTGTTGCTAGAGAACAATGTATATGCATTGATGACAACATCATGCTCACGATTGTCCTCTCAATTGACGGTATTTATTTTTCTATGCCTTATTATCCAAAGGAGTTGTGACCCTATGTTTCACATCATACTCCACATCAGTTCCGCAACACATATAAAATGTGTTTAGCATGATGAGACATGCTTACTGTCATATTATGAGCCAGTCTACGGAAAGCTACTACAGTTGGAGACGGTTGTCTTTCAATGAGTCGGTGGATCGACCTCTACCTATAATTGAACACTGTGTGAGAAGAGTTCGCCTTAACTAGTGGTGTGATAACTTCACAACAACCATGGATTGTGATTATGCCGTTCATCAACTGCCCGCATTCACGCCACCATCACTGGATGTTCCCCGACCGTAGACGGCGACGGAACCAGATATGCAAGACCAGAAAGACAACCACGCCCACTGCAAGCATGGCAGAGATCACAGAGAACCCCATGATGTATTTCGGGCTGTCCTTGTCAGGAAAAAGATACTGTTACATCTCAATCAGCTCTGGCACTAGGGAACATCAACGTTGGGGTTAAACACATACCGATCCGTAAATTTGTGCTAAATTGCCCAGCGCATTTACCATCGCCAAAGCAACACCCCTAGCCTGCGGATGCATTCCAGCAAAGGCAGAGGAGGCATACGCCAGTGTACCGCCATTGGTGGACCAAAGCCCAGCGGCCATAAGAACCAGGAGTACATATCGAGCAGTGAAGTTATACACGGCACAGACAATGACCGAACAGATCAGGGAAAATGCCAGCCAGCCAGCAATGATTAACCCACGCCAGGTGGGGAACCTGTCACCGCAGTAGGACGTGATGCCTGTGGCGACGAAGGCCACGCCGTAGATCGGGACGGTCAGGAAGTTGACTTTCTCGGTGGACGCGTCGCCGAAGAGCCCTTTGACTAGGGTAGGATAGAAGTATGTTAGAGTGCTTGACCCAACGATGACCTAAATCTCAAGAGACAAATTTAGTAAGAGAATCCGGTTTATCGTGGAGGTAAACTGGAAGATGTAAGCCGAACAAAAGAAAAAACGAACCATATATCCAATCACAAAGGCCCAGGTGCGGAAGTCTTTGCAGGCTACTCTACACGCCCCCAAGCTACTCAAATGCTCGGTATCTTCGGTGCTTGCCGTGACGTTCTCCCTGGTCAGTCGGGCCACAGCTATCTGCCGCTCGCGATCGGACAGTCGTCGCGTTGTAGCAGGAAAGTCAGGCAGGACGAAAAGAGATATCAGGGCACAACCAACGGTGATAACACCTTCAATGATGAAAAGCCATCGCCAGCCCCTGATACCATGCACACCTTCAAGCCCATCGACAATGCCGGCCGCAATGAGTCCACCAAAGGCACCTGATAGAACGGCCGCCGAGATGAACACGCCGAATCTCCTGGACTGCTCGGTCTGCTTGTACCATGATGACAAGACCAGTAATACTCCGGGAGCAAAGCCAGACTCAATGCACCCAATGATGACTCTCAGGACTACCAGATGCGAGAAGTCCTTGACAACAGCCATGACACAGGTCAATGCGCCCCAGAGAATCATGATGGTAGAGAGGAAGATGGATGGACGTGACCGACCCAACGCCAAACTGTTCGCAAACAACACTTGGTTATTATAGTTTCAGTGGAATACACGTGCTTAGAGAAGCCATACTTGCTAGGAACTTCGAACACCACATATCCGACAAAGAAGACAACTAGAGCAATGGAGTATTCGTTTGAGGTCAGATTGAGGTCGACCTGCATCCCGGAGATTTTGGCATTGCCGATACTGCACAGAGACAACCATTAGCCCCTGAAACATGGTCAACCACAGATGAAAACATAATCGCACTTACTTGGTCCGGTCCAGGTAGGATAGGAGATACATCACCCAGACGGTAGGTAGAAGGGTCATGTCAATCTTTCTTACCAGCGCTTTCTCCTCCTCCGGCGTGAAGGAAATCACCTCAGTCGCATCTACATCTTCGATCTCGTGCGATGAGGCATCCTTGAGCTGTCCCTCGTTAATGTCGACTGTGTCCATGATGGCTTGTAAATACAGCGAGGACAGTAGTCGAAGAGAAAAGGCGTCAAGGGCTGGAGTAGTGGGCTTGTCAGGTTTATGTCCCACCACTGTGCCCGAGATATACAAAGCTAGCTAACTACTTCGAGTATGTCCAAGTTTCTCGGTGTCAGACAAACCCGCGGCCATCAGGCCACCTGTCATGCCCCGGATTAAGCATGACCGTATCCGCCTCCACAATCTTTCTCCGCGCCCCTTGGGGTTTCCCCACACCCCGGACAGCAATGAGCAATTGGGTCGAAGGGTTTCGCATCGAGGCCAACTGCGGGACCATTTCTTTGCGCCATTGACGCCATTCGTAAAGGCGGTGTATTGCAGTACTCGTGGAGGTGGATAGCAGTTGACCGTAGCGGACATTGGCTAGCTAGGAGGAATCCAGTTTCGAACAAGGGAACATATTGAATGACATTGTCTTGGAAGGAAAATTGCTTAGTGGTAGTAATACCTAGTATATACACATTCTCTTGCATGTAAGATCATGCTGTAATCAGCTCGAATGGCAGGCACAGCTATATTTATAGTCTTATGTGCGATAAATAGGAGTCATGGTGATGGGACAGGGGGTAATTAACTCTCGTCACGAAGCCACCTATCGACGAGCAAATTACACTTAGTGTCTATTTCTGCGATCCAAGATCATGTGAACGTGGATATCATAGTTTGGAATGTGCAGCTATCGTATGATACTCTGCCGGTGGCTACATGGTCAGCTTGGGGCGATGCCTGACTCCGATCCACTGTTCGAGACCCTTTACAGAAAGTGGCCTTCATCGTAATGGTACCAAGAAGCAATAGCAAATATCTGGAATGCTGTTGATTGCATATGGAAAAGGCAGAGAACACATAGACACGAGATAACACGAGACCATGGTCTTCGATCCGAGTAAGTTTGGTTTGCGGATGTGTTGCGCTGCCGCGATGTGGGACTGCCGTTAACCCCAGAATCTGGAGAAAAGATTCGAGTCTCTTCCCCGTCGGCGGATGTACCATAGCTACCCCGGCCTTCAGAGCTATCGGCCGCATAGGGAGACAGTAGTCAGCATACTGATGCTAGTTCAGGGTCCACAAGTGGTACATGGGATCTATGATGATGAGACCAGCCGGCAAAAGGATGCTCATGTGGCCCGGTTGGCTTGCGAGGGGCGAGGGGCTCGCATCGAGAGCTACCGGGTGGGATTGGCGACCGGTGGGATAAAGCCCTCAATGACACCACATCGGGAACACCAGAATTGGGAAGGTTAAAAACCTGCATGTGGCGACTTCATCGCCTTCGCTTTGCCAGTAACGGCAACTTACTGGGGTCAGACGCCGTCGAATGCAGCGGGAAGCTTAAGATTCTGGCTATCCGTGTGGCTCAATGACAGTTTAAGGTTTCGAACCAATTGTCCAATTCTGGGCCGGTCCCGAGACGATGGCAAACGTAGCTTTAGGAAGCCTCAAATTTCAGCAGCGATAATCAGGGAGACCCCCCACAATGCGGGGAATCCGGAGATACCCCAATCCTCCAAGCTGTTTATCGCCGATCCAGTAGAAAAGAAATTCATTATAACAAACCCAGTGCTTAGTCTCATGGAGTTCTTGGCGAAATACATTTCTCTTCAACCTACCTGCAAGCGAGATTTGATTCCTCATTGAAACTTGTTGCCAAGTCAGTTGCGAGACGAAAATTAGAATGAAACCATTCACAACTCCCTATGCGTTTCTCACCAAGCGGCTAAGAGGCCGAGGGGCTAGATCAGCATGGATCGAGTACCTAATTACAGCTACATGTGGCATTGGGTGAGTATGACCCCCAGCCTTACACGCGAGACGGAGTCTAACGCACGCCTCTGCGGCATGTAGGAACATGCTCTTCGGCTACGATCAAGGTGTCATGGGTAGTCTTCTCACGGGCCCATCATTTGAAGCAACATTCCCTTCCATCTCGAATGGCAACTCTACCCTCCAAGGTTTCGCGGTACGTGAAGATGGGGCTCGGCTCTTCAGGGAAATTACCTACCAGGGACGTGCTTTTAACATGAACAGGTGGCGGTCTATGAATTAGGATGTGCAGCCGGCGCTTTGACTGTCATATTCAGTGGTGACAAGTTCGGCCGAAGGCTGACCGTCATGGTGGGAGAGCTGATTATCATCTTCGGTGCCATCCTTCAGGCTTCCTCTTTCAGTTTGGCCCGATTGATAGTAGGCCGTATTGTCGGTATGTTCCAATCTGCTTCCGAGTGCCTAATATCGCGGAATACTGATCCATTCTGCTCCCAGCCGGGTTTGGAAATGGTATGGCAGCTGCTATTCTGCCAACTTGGAATGGCGAGTGCTCTCGTTCTAACAACAGAGGTCGAGCCGTCATGTGGCAACTTAACATCAACCTGGTATGTCAGGGTGCATTTATGGCACCTTCCAAGAAATCATCAGCTAATCTCCGCAGTTCGGGATTGCCCTAGCATACTGGGTCGACTATGGCCTGGCAGCCTCCTCTCTTACCAGTAACAATGGTTGGGCATGGAGGCTGCCACTGGGGCTGCAGTCTGCTTTCTCGGCTGTGACAATCGTTCTGGCACTCTTTCTTCCGGGTAAGTGGTAATAGCCTCGTGTTCAAACAGTGTATCGGAAGGCTAATGCGCAATTCTCTGATATATCAGAATCCCCGCGGGTTCTGATGCGCAACGGAAAAGTTGATGAGGCACGCGACGTTGTTGATATGTTGTCGTTGGAAGAAGACCCTGCTACACGCGCTTCTGAAGTTGTTCGTATACCACATGCAGTGATAATATCCTTTGATACACGGAGTCGCTAATGTCATGGGATTGATCTAGTGCACAGTCGTGTCTTTGATTGAGAACGCACTCCAAGAAGATTCCCAAAGTGATTCCCAATGGCAGGCTATCTTCACCCAGGGAAGGCCCCGATTTTTCCAGCGTCTCATCTTATCTGCGTTTGTGATGTGCATGTACCAGCTTACTGGCGTCAATCTTATCACATATTATGTGTAAGTCCTGCTGTTGATCTGTTGTCCTGAAACCCTCACCTCTTGAAATATATCTTGACGATCACTCGCTTACCACATCTTGTTGGAATACCACAGCCCCGTTATCTTCCAGAATACACTGAAGTTCTCCAGACATCTCAGTTTGCTGATGTCCGGCTTTGTCGGCTTGGAGTTTTGGATTGCGAGCTTCATTCCAATACCCCTCATCGACAGACTTGGGCGTCGGCCCTTACTGCTTTTCGGGGCGGTCGGGCAGTGTGTCAGCATGGCTGTTCTCGCCGCCACAGTTGCGTATCCAGGCAATAAAGCATGCGGATACGTGTCCGTAGTTTGTGTTTTGTGAGTCATTTTGTCTATAGAGAATGTTCTTTTATTATATTGCTAATGTCTGAATGTTAGCATCTTCAACACTGTCTGTGCCATCGGTACCAACGGGCTGGCCTTCTTGCTACCCGTGGAGTTAACTCCGCTGCAAACGCGTGGAACATCCGTCGCCATCTCCACCGGCTTTTTCTGGCTCTGCAATTTTTTTGTTGTTATGATATCTCCAGTGCTCATCTCTCGCATTCAGTATGGTACTTACATCTTGTGGGCATGTACGAATTTGTCTTTTATCCCAGTGATATACTTTTTCAGTAAGCTTTCCTTCGGCGCACGCTACAGATCCGAATTCCCGAATTTGAACCCTTTGTTAACAATCTTGACACCGCAGTTCCGGAAACCTGCAAGGCGTCTCTTGAAGATATTGATGTCTTGTTCGAGAACAATCCTAAATGGCTTATTGGCCCACAGTCCAAGAAGAAGATGGCCAAAATCACCGAAGATGCTTCGGCGCTTACTGACGCTGTTCTACATGGAAGGAAGGAAAGTGCTCCTACAGTCGACATGGTTGAAAATGCATCTTCCATATAATATTATCCGCGTCACTGATGATTATGGCCTAGCTTTGGTGTATGATGACAGAGAAGGGCGGGAACCTTGGGCCTCGTAGACCTGAAACTTCATATTTGGAATGTACATAGATAACATTGTTAGACAATAGAGGAAGTGAGTTTACCCCATAAGCTACTCATGGGTCTTTGTCATATCACCTCTTTTCCAAACGTATACACCAAGTTCATGTTCTGTTGTACCTGTGGGAGTACACCCTTTCTTCGAGACATTACAGTCATCAGTAGTGAATTTGTCAAAGATATGTCGAGATGACTAATTATGCTTATGAGGCAGTATGACCATTGTGGGGGCACTACATTACTCGCGGGAACGCAGCCGAGGGGTCATCGAGGCGAGGGTCACTGGCCTCGAAGCGAGGCACTGCTCCGACGATGGCCAGCACTCAGAACCATATGGAAATACTGATACTGCGAATAACATCTGACTATCCTATAGTCAGTGGCCTCAATGACAGGTGACTGCCATCGTCTCGATCCAGAATCAACATGCCCCATTACCTGGTCAGTGCCTCAAATCTGGGGCATATGGCATATCGGGATGAATGGCATGAGGTATAAGAATACCGCCATCTCGATGTCTTTGGCCTAACAATCTCAAATTCACAACCATAGAACATTTTCTTGCAGAAGAAACTCTTGATTTCGCAGAGAGCCTTCACTTTCCGGCTATGGCGCCCGCACTAGAACTTACAGAGAAGCCCATCCAAAGTCTGCCCACGAAAGCAGTCTCTGGTGTTCGCAATGGAGCTTCAGGCGGTGTCGGTATCGGACTAGAAAGCCCAGAGAAGCACCAGCGTGTGATGAATGTCTTTCGAGCCTTCGTTGCCGATCTTGCACAGCAGTATGGAGAAGGCCACGCTGGGTGAGTCAGCTCCATATCCTGTATATCTTAGTTGACAACATGGGAACGGCGCTAACCAAGCTCAACAGAGCCCCAATGGGTATGGCTGCCATTGGTATCGCCTTGTATAAATATGTCATGAAGTATTCCCCAAAGAACTGCAACTACTTCAATCGCGACCGTTTTGTGCTCTCAAATGGTAAGTCTGTGGGCGTTGTTCCGGCCGAGCTGTCTGACGCTACTCAAACTGTGGCTAAAACAATTTATTGTAGGCCATGCCTGCCTATGGCAATATTTGTTTATGCACCTTATTGGTGTTCCGAGCATGACACACGATCAGCTCAAGACATACCACTCCGCGAGACTTGACTCGCTCTGCCCCGGTCATCCCGAAATCGAGATTGAAGGCGTAGAGGTCACAACGGGTCCTCTTGGCCAGGGTGTGGCTAATGCCGTTGGACTCGCCATGGCCACTAAAAGTCTGGCCGCTACATACAACCGACCTGGCCACGAGGTGGTAAATAACATGACGTGGTGCATGGTCGGTGACGCCTGCCTTCAGGAAGGTGTCGGTCTTGAAGCGCTCTCACTCGCTGGCCACTGGAAGCTGAACAATCTATGTGTCATCTTCGATAATAACAACGTTACGTGCGATGGAAGTGCAGATGTTGCTAACACTGAGGATATGAACATGAAGATGCGAGCTACTGGTTTCAATGTGGTAGACGTGTACAATGGGGACACGGATGTTGCTGGTAGGTCTCCCAAACCCTTGACTTGATGTGAAGGGCGTGCTAATGCGATCTAGCTGTCGTGAACGCGCTCAATGCCGCTCGCCATAGCGATAAGCCAACATTCTTAAACGTCCGCACCGTCATTGGTATTGGATCCGCCAAGGCCGGCACGGCTGATGTACACGGATCTGCCCTGGGTGTCGACGAAGTGGCTAACCTAAAGCGATCGTTTGGCCTCGACCCTAACGAACACTTCTACATTCCAGAGGATGTCTATGACTTCTTCCGTGATATCCCTGGCCGTGGCGAGGCTCATGAAGCGAGTTGGCATGCGGCTGTTGACAAGTATCGTGAAGAGTACCCCGAGTTAGCCGCTGAATTTGCGCGCCGTGTTGCAGGAAAGCTTCCAGAAGACTGGAACAAGTACATTCCCAACAAGGAAGAGCAGCCTACTGCATCCACTGCCTCCAGGAAGTCTGCTGGTGTGATAACCAATGCCCTGGGAAAGAACATCAATTCGTTCTTGATCGGGACTGGGGATCTTACGCCCTCCTGCAATGTCGCCTACAAGAACAAAGTCGACTTCCAGTCTGTAGGTGCCACTAGCTTCCTTTCCCGATGCCACTTCCGGTTGCTTACATGCACTTCAGCCTGACCTCCAAACTGTGTGTGGTCTGACCGGAGACTACAGCGGTAGATACATTCACTATGGTATCCGGGAACATGCCATGTGCGCTATCTCCAACGGGCTTGCTGCATTTAACAGAGGCACCTTCATCCCCATGACGAGTACATACTTTGTCTTCCATTTGTACGCCGCTGCCGCTATCCGCATGGCCGCACTACAAGGCCTCCAGCAGATCCACATCGCCACCCACGACAGCATCGGAGTCGGCGAGAATGGACCTACGCACCAGCCCATCGCAGTTGCTGCGCTATGGCGTGCTATGCCTAACCTACTCTACATCCGCCCCTGCGATGCAGAAGAAGTTGCAGGCGCTTACAACGCCGCCATTAGCGCGACTGAGACGCCGACTGTCATTTCACTATCCCGTCAGGGTTTGACCCAGTATCCACAATACTCCTCACGCGAAGGTGTAATCAGAGGCGCGTACGTTTTTGCTGAGGCAGAGGGCGACGACTTTGACGTCACCATCATCGGAGTCGGCTCAGAAATGGTATATGCGATGCAAACCCGCGAATTACTTATTAAGGAATATGGTCTCCGCGCACGGATTGTCTCATTCCCTTGCACAAGGCTTTTCGAGCAACAATCTCGGGAATACAAGCACTCTGTATTGAAGCCTCGCGCCGGCAAGCCAACCGTCGTGATTGAGGCCTACCCGTCTAACGGATGGGAGCGCTATGCTGATGCATCCGTGTCCATGAACTACTTTGGAAAGAGTTTGCCTTCGAAGGATGCATATGCTCATTTCGGGTTTGTGCCAGATCGCATCGCCATTAAAATCAAGGACCTGGTAGCGGAAGTAAGACGCGATGGGATTGAGGTCTTGAGGGGCGATTTTAGAGAGTTCAACGGGGCCCACTGGATTGAACTTCAGCATTAGAACTGCTCATGACTCTTGCAATGACATGTAACTTTTCCTTGTATATTGCGATTGAGGTTGTCTGTAAAGGGTGAGGATCCGATCGTGCTTACTCAATGACCATCAGGATGCTTCGAAATTTTATTGAGCTGACTGAAGCAATCCATGTATTCTATCTTCCCACTTCCCCAACTCCCTCTGGTTCTTGAAGAATCTTTCGATTTGTGGATCGATTTATGGTTCGTATTTCGGGGGTAGCATCTGTTGGATCACATCAAATGCCGGAGGCTTGTCGAGACAATATGTCTCCATCGCGTCGACATCATTGGCAAGCTTGTGTATTCGCAGCGGGAATATTGCACCGTACAACTTAGCGATGGGTTTCCGGTCCAGTTTCTTATTCGTTCTACCACTAAAGGTGTCCTCCCGGGTTATAAGCTCGACCTTCAATTCGTGGTTGATAGCAATTCCTGGAAGATCGGCCAGTGGAAAAATATTCCGTGGATCGTCACCGCCACAGTAACTCTCACAGATTTCGTCTGCAGCATTTGCACTTTCCGGAATCCTGATTTCGAAGTCGACCCGTAAGCAGCCATAACGCAGGCAGCTCTGATCCGAGCAATTCAATATGACTTTCGGGCATCGGGGTTCGAGCTTTCCTTCTATCAATGACCGTTTCGACGTCGTTGTAGTGTTAGCAAGAGCCTGCATCTCACAATGGGCTATATTACGGCGCATAGCTACTTCGTCGACCCTCCACTTGATTGCTGAGATAGCTATATATTTCATTTCACCATCTCGGGCACCTGGTGTCAGCAAATTCCGAATTGCTAGCTCCACGGAGAACATGGCTTTGGTAGTCGCGTCTTTTGGTCGTTGCTGTGATATCGTAGTTTGGATCACCAGTGGGGAGGCAGTAAACCGTCGAAAATAGTTGTCGGGGGGAAGGACAGGTGGTATAAGACGATAAAGCACGGCAAGGGGCTTGGATATGCTCACTGTCCGTCCAAACGGAAGATTGATCGTGGCTTTCAGATCATAACAGACGGTACCGAGAGTTGTTTTCATCGTTGGAGGGAGGCAGTTTGGCACTGGAATATCAAAGTAGTATACCAGGCTATCTCCCGTGCTTGTAGGCCAACGTGACGCGATGTTGTCAGATGCAGACCAAAGAATACAATCAAGGACCGTCTCTTCGTAAGCCGGTACTGTCAACTGCTTTGTCGCGGACTCTCCATGTCGAAAAGGATTCCGCCGGCGACCCTTGATGTGTGTGCAAGATGAACCATGATCATCGAATTTGACTATCCGAACAAGACTAATCGTTATATTGGGTGCGCTATGTGTCAGGTCTAAGAAAACCTTGTTCGAAATTCCAAGAGAACCCGACAAAGGCAATGTATGAGGTTCGGTGCCTGGGCGGATGAAGATGATGTGGGATTGGGGCGTATCAAGATGTAGATGAGGGTTGATCATTTTGAGGAGATATCAATCAAACTGAAAGGCGTACGCTTCGCCAGGCAAAAAGACTAGATGCAAAAACAATGGGAGCGCACCTCGATATGAGCGTCTCAGTAATCGTAATGCCATGCGATATTCAACAATTCCACTAGACCCGATAAGGAAGCCAAGCCGTAAGTTTAAGCTTTACATCCCCACAGCCTTGATGCCTGAGTCAGAAAAGGCCTGCACGACTCTGGAATAACTTCATTCGCTGGACATTGTATGAAGAGATGTAAGCGATATAAAGCGAGAAATCTGTCTGCTCCAATCAATTGCAAAATATCCTAAAGCCGTCGTTACTGCACTGCTCGCCCGCATCGCAATAATATCAGCCACAGCAAACATCGCTAAAGCGAAATTAACGCAGGTGTCATCCTTACACCAGGTGTCACCGGTAGATGGACAGTTGTTCTGTCTCTTCGACAGCGGCTGACCAAAGGCGCCTAAACCCAGGCAGACGTCGCGAAGAACGAGGAACTCATTCTGTCTGACGACCGCGCACTGCGCTCAATGAGCCGTGCCGGAAATAAATTCACTCGTTGGGAGATATCGGCCGGAACGACCCCTGCCAGAAGGAGAAGCGCATTGCAGGTCCAGAAATTGCACATCAAGCAAGGCTGGGGAGTGTATCAATGAGAGGGGTGAGAAAAGGGGTGAGAAAAGGGGTGAGAAAAGGGGTGAGGATTAGAGAGCTTAAACAATTGCGGTGGTCTCAACTCCCGGACGAGATGGAAGACGAGAGGTATAACGAAGAGGATGCACCTACACAGAAAATATACCATCATTTCCAAAATGTTATGCGGTGGAGGTGTGGTATTCAAGCTCCATCCTGTGTTGCCCTTCCACGCCAAGACAATCCATTCCGTCGTCAATTCCTATGATCATCTCGATATCATGGAACACCCAATCCTTTACCTTGGAGCCCAGGCAAGCCATGGCTGCAAGAGGTACTCTTGGCCAGCCAACCATATGCCACTAGAATAACTGGCGGCTGCCAGAGCTCATATTCCACGTTGCGCTGTCGGTAGACAACTGTCTCCAGGCAAATTGCGGCTCTATCAGAGGTTCTAGTTTTGGGATCGACCACCTTCTTGGGGCTCAAGGGACCCATTGCCAGCCTAATCCTCCCGCCCCCGTGTTTGGTGGGCTCACTAATTTGTTCATATTGAAGGGATCTTCGCAGCGCCGTGTTGGCGTTCTGGCAATTTCGGATGGATTCCCTGGAGAGAAGGTTTCCGCCAACAGCAAAGTGCTTGGTTGGACCCTGCGTATCATTTTCTCACTGTGGAGGCTGCAATCTTCCTCTAATCCAGCGGCTGCTTCTTGGCATCCGTCTGATTGGGCCTATCCCATGGCCTGTTTTATGGTCATCTGGGTCATCAAGGCTTCTCTCACTACCTAGGATGACGCTGATGATTCCATTGTCATGGTCAGAGGGTGGTGGCTGTGTAACGATCTTGAGACGGCGCATCTCGCCTTGATAGTCTTGACAGAGATTTTACTAGCTGCTTGATCTGATTGGAGCACATTCTTCGTCACATATATGCTTCAGGGCCCCTGGAAATTTTAGAAGGAAAATATGAAGGTGGACAAAAACAGACTTGATAGTCTCATCGAAAGAGTAGTACTTTGGAGCCGCTGATCGTACCCATCACCAGATGGAGATTCTACTTATCAGCACTAGTGATGGCCACACTCAATAATAAGGATAGGGCCGTTAAAGAGATTTTTACCCAGAAAGTGCATCACTGAATAAGTCCGTTGATTCATCGCATGTCACGCAATATTTTGAACTCAAGTTAAATGGCGTGTCCACCAATCCTCCTTCCGCTTGTAGGACTCGTAGATGGTCTTCTCGCCGACCCACCCATGGCCTTCATTTTTGAATTCGACCACTTCCGCGACACGTCCATGCACACGCATGGCGTTAGCCATCATTCTTGCCTGGGCCACAGGAACCACCATATCCGACGTCCCCTGCAGCAACAGCAGTGGGGCCTTCATTTTGTGGGCATAATTGCATGGGCTGCGATTTGTGAGCTCCTGCTCCTTATCTTCCTTTGCAGTCTTGCACAATAGTAATCGGTCCACATCCTGACTCTCAAACTTATAGGAATCAGCCTGGAGTGCCCTCATGTCGCTGATGCCGTAGGAGCTGACTCCTGCTGCCCAGACATCAGGATACATGTGCAGAGCCTGCAGCGTAAGGTAACCACCCGCACTGCCGCCGTAGATCCCTACGCGGGCTTTGTCGATCAACCCTTCATTAGCCAGAAATTCCACGGCACTAACTGCATCGCCTGTGTCCACGAGGCCCCAGTACCCGGAAAGTCGTTCTCGGTATTCCCGCCCAAAACCGGTCGAACCGGTATAGTTGAGGGCACAGACGGCGAATCCGCGCGTGGTCCAGTATTGGATTTCTAGGTTCAGCGCGGGAGTGACACATCCATTTGGTCCGCCGTGGACGTACACTAAAAGAGGTGGAAGATGTCCGTCGCACTCGAACTCGGGATTACAAGGGGGGAAGTAAAACATGTGTACGTTTCCGTCACATCTAGGACCGTACTTCTGAGGTGCAGTGTATTCTTTCGCGACAGAAACGTAATCTGGTGCCAGGTTGAATGATGCTGTTGATTTCATGACGGTTGTAATCGGTTCAAATGAAGAGGTAAGCGAAATCAAACTGAGTTCCTGGGGAGACTTCGTTGAGGCGCCGACGACAACGAAGGAGCTGGATGAAGCGCGGAAAATACCATTGGCACGAACTCCGATGTCCACGTACTGAAGCCCCAGCTTTTGGACCGACAATTTGGGGATGTCAATAAGAACAAGCTCACTGGTGCCATGAGTAATAGCTGTCGCCACCATAGTCTTTTCGTCGAGTGATATATAGGTGGAACTGTGAATGTTAGTTTCCTTGATCAACTGACAAACGACGGAAGAGTTACCTGCCCAGCTCCTACTTGGCAGCGGCGAAGTCTGCATTCGCCAGGCCCTCCAGATATAGAGCGCTAACCGAAGTATCGTGTACGTTATATGAGTAGAGCTGCAGATAGCCAGTACAATCGGATGCAAAGTACAGTGCTCCATCCAGCCCCCATTTCGGTTGAGCGATGCTTTCTTTCTGGTACTCCCCAGCGACCTTGGTTATATTCCTCAGAGATCCACCCGCCCACTCGGCTACGTAAAGCACAGTTCCTGTCCAGGGCATGTCAGGATGACTCCATTGGATCCATGAGACATGTTTGCCTGACGGATCAAACTTAGGATACAAATAGAAGTCATCGCCTTGAGTAATGGTGACTTCTGTATCAGAAAGAATGTCAATCGCCACCAAAGTGTTGTGCACGTCGGTTGCCTGGGTCTCGGGGGTTGCATCTTGGTGGTCTTCTTTGATTGCAAGCACCCACTGCGTATCGACGGGATGATTGCAGAAATCGGCATATTGAATGCCCTGGACTGTCGAATGCACGAGAACGACTTCACTTGATGCCGGGTCTAATAAATACAGACTGCAAGATTTCTTGTCTGAGAAGAGAACTCTTCCATCTGGCCTCATCATAATGGAGCCGCCTCTAAGCTCCTGCACCGTTGCATGTGCACTGTAATCTCTTGGTAAGACGTCCCGGCTTTGTCTGTTGAGATGTTGGATGATTGCAAAGCGACCATCTTCGGTAGGGTGACACTCCACCGAGTAAATAGTACCAGTTGACTCCTGTACCTGTTAGCGACAGACCAAGTAAGCTTGATTGAACAGAGCACATACATCAACGACTACTTCGTGCAGCGAAATGCTGTCAGTTGCCAACCGGTCCGCGGTGAGTGGGCTTGTCCATTTGCCGTACGGTGCAAGAGAGGGAGGCATTTTCAGGATTTCCGGATGCCCAGAAATAGAAGGAGAAATTAATAGACCAGGATTGCGAGAAGCTACCAACAGACAGTGCAGACTTTTGCGATAGTTAACCCAGAGGATCTCTTCTGACTCACCATTATTTAGGTTGTTTCGGGACAGTCGCGTAGCAAGCCCCACTGGGATAATTTCATATTGCGGTAAGATTACATAATGATAATAATCAGTAACATAATCGGATAATGACCTGCTGGGGTGAGCTGCCGGCAGTTGGCTGCTCTGCCTAATGATTTATAATGATAGATTTAAAATCAAGTAACTTAATACAATACAGATAATATATTGAGAGTCGGACTGAATGTTGAATTAATGTGGATATATAATTATATTCCTTTTAATTATAATTTGTGCAGCGGGGTAACCAGTATTAAATACTTTATATAACCTGCTTCTATATAATTTATATATTTTAAGTTATTGAACATCCAGTATATTCCGCGAGGTGGGAACCGTTGCTGGTTAGCCGGAACCAACAATAAATACCTCACTTATACAGTATCTTGTAGGCCGGTTGGAGTTGTGGATAATATCTTAGTAAGATTTAAAAGGGAAAGATTATAATAATAATTAAAAAGTCAATGAATTTGGTTCTGGACGATTTTATAGTATAGATTGAAGTGAGTAATTATAATATTATGACTGCTATATATTACATAACTATCAGTTGTTGTCATAGACAGAAGAGTATACTTGAGTAGTTATAATATTCCCTGATAGTTAGGGATTCTATGGTTATACTAAATACTTTTTTAGAAGATTCTACAGAATATATTCTTTGCTTTAAACAATGAAGCACCTGCATAGCTAGCATCTCACTACACCAGCTCAATCGGGTATAAGAATATGAATATAAATATGAATACAGTACTATATGACTGCACTAGACCCGATTAAGAAGCTAAGCTGTACTCCGGTTGACCCCGGTAATTTTGTTAGTATGGTGGAGCGGTGCAGGGGGTTGAATCCTTCCAGTAATAAGTCTTCTAGCTAACACCGCCTGTCTAATACAGTTAGTACGCGTTAAAATTGAAGCCTACGAACATAAGAAATATGATATAGTATACTAATTCTTAATATTTTAAAGATTAAAGATATTTTCTATACTTGAACCTACCTCTCTAAAACCAATAAATTCAAAGTATTTAAATCATAATAATTATATCCGTGTTCTTGTTTTTTGTAATATTAGTTTTATCTATTAATAAATAATTAATCAGTTATAGATTAGCTATTGTTAAATTTAATATATATATTAAAATTAATAAGTTATATTTTAAAAAGTAAAAGGTAATACACCAAAACTCTTAGATAAAGAAATTAATTATATTATATAATAGATATTAAGTTTAAAGTATACATATTGGATACTATATTATTATATTATTAAAGAGCTTGAATTTTTTATTAGAGTAATAATTTTAATATATTCTTTAAAAAAGCAAGGCTATATATGCTGTAAAATACTTTAAAAATTATTTCTTTTATCAGTAAATAAATAAATAAGATTAGTCTGGACTTTTAAACATCTATATTAGATATAGAATTAATAGAATTAAATACTCTGGACTAATAAAATCTGGATAACTTCAGATTTTTATAAATAAATATATATAATTTACAAGCCTGGTGAAGAGCTTAATGAAATCTATTTTTATATAAATCTATTATATAAATATGGTTAGATATTTTAAATCTCTTTTTACAGTAATATTAAAGATCTATGCCTCTTTTAAAAGAAAGAATAAAGAAATATTAATATTAAAAACTATATTAAATATATTCTTTCTATTATTAATAGTTTTATATACTTGGTTGAATGCAATGGATAATAACTTTAATTAATATAAGATAATATTTCTAGTCATGTAAGTAAAACTACTATTTAAAAATTTAATAAGTATAGAATTTTTCTAATTATTTAGCTAGTATTCTTACTAGATCTTAACCTAATTAAAGCTGTTTGGAACTGGATTAAAAACTAGATTAAGTAATATTTTCTTTAAGATAAATAGTTATTATATAATTAATTATATGAAATTATATGAGCTGTGTAGGATGCTTTACCAAAGATATTCTTAAATAATTTAATTAATAGTATACCTGTAAGATACCAGATAATAATTAACATAGAAAATAGCCATATAAAGTATTAATAATCATTAATAATTATACAAATAGCAGAATTAGAAGGATTCAACCCCCTGCACCACTCCACCATACTAACAAAATTACTGGGGTCAACTGGAGTAAGTTTAAGGTTTACATCCCCACAACCTTGATGCCTGAGTCCCCAAAGGCGCACCCAACACCAGAACTACCTTACTCTCTGAATTCTATAGAGATTCAACTCATAACTAATCTCCACCTAACTCGCGAGACCTAGATAAAAATAATAAGGAAATTCCAGTCCTGGGATCTTGCCAGTGGCAAATACTCATACCATGTTTCTTCCACTGTCTCCAGGGAGACGCGGTATACCATCCTCCTCTGAGGTCAGTGCCAAGTCTGCTGGTCACGTGGTTTCAGCCTACTCAATACCTTAGACAAATAAAGATGAAATTAGAGCAATTCTAAGAAAATTATTGGTGTCCTAGAGCACCACAGTGCTGGGTATGTCTTTAATAATGTAAAAGAACATGACATGATCTCGGATCTAGCAATCCAGTCACCTTCTTGCATAGCTAGCTAGCTAGTCTATATAAATATCAAGCATTTGAAATATTGTTGCCATAAATTGCGCTACACCTTGCCCGATCAAGTAAATGTGGCCAAGGTGACAATAGGATGACATTATTCTACTTTCCCAGCAGATATATATATTATCCACTTGTTGTCTGTGCCAGACCTGTAATACTAAGATAGATAGAAGATACCCTGCTATGATAGAATAGCAGATAAGACTGCTGTAAAATCAGGAACGTGAAATAGGAGCCTAATTCATAGACTGGCAGATCTTATTATTAATGGTCTACTTTCGTATGAAAGGGTATGACACGGGACGCCAGGAGGACCAGGCCTTGCATGTATTGCACTATGTACCCGGCCAGAATGGGAAGCTCATAGATAATCTGCAGGATATAACATGGCAATTGGTTAGGTTCAGAATGAGTAATTCACTAAGTCTGCAGTGTGCTGACTACGTAAATGGCTCATATCCCCAGGCAATACTGGCAAAGCGCCCTCCAGTCATCCAGCAATCAGATGGTTTAGGCATGTTACGCGCAAACGACTAGAAGGCACAATACAAGCCTCACCGATTGACAAATACTTCAAAGCCATGAAGGCATGTTCTACCTCGAGCGGAAAAAAGGGGCTATTAGAATACAGACAAGAACATGACTCGGCCGATGCAATATTAACAAGCTCAGGTTTCCATTCTATGGTAAAGTGAAGCGAAAGAAACCATAAAACTAGAGTTTCACGATATATCGAGGATAATTGGACCAAAAAGACTAACGCTCAGGTCTTACCCCTTAACACTTGGTGAGATAGAAATATAACACTCCGGCTTCGTCTTCCTTTTTGGACCAGTGCGCACCGGCAATAATGTGTTCATTAACATAACAAAGATAATCTATCCGTGGATAATCATCATATATCATAGCCGTAGAGCAAACACCGCGATAGACGATTTCTGACAGCTTCAGCCATTCAGACATCAGTTGAGGTCAAGAAAGATGCAATAATCAAAAGGGGGCATGTAAGGGGTAGGACCAGTAATTGGTGCGAAGACTCACAAACATGTCACCCCAATCAGGAAGCGACTTCCTTGTTTCACCATCCAGTGAATACTTTGTCACGGACGTATTGGAGTGGACAACCTCGATAAGAGATAGTAGTCTCTCTGCTACCGACTCTGAAGGGTATCCAGTTCAGAGTAAGTAAAGCTCCCATTTACCGAGCAGACTTCCAGCTTTACAGCTTGTAGATAATCGAAGACACCTTGTAGCTCCAATGAATCAAAGCTTTTTTGCTGCTTGATTGAGCAGAGGAGGTATTCCTCAGCAGGCCTGTGAGAAATATGCATTAGTATTGTGGGACCTCATTCTGATTGATATAGTGGAGATACATTCGCGTCATGTTAAAGATCATATTGAATATGTACGTTGGGAAAGTTGAAATTAGAAATTGAAGCTGCAAGTTTTCAATTTCCTGGTATGGACGATCGAAATACACGTTCACTAGCAAACGTCAATGGATTTCTGGCTTCCAAATCTTAGCAACTAAGGAGACAAGGCACGGTCTTTATAAACTATCAGATGGCCAATATGGGTTGCTTTTCTAGTGGTACAACCCATGGACGACCATGCTGTGTCCCTTGTGATATCAAGTCGGCGAAATGATGTCAATGAGGAACCATATAAACCAGGAAATGCTGCCATATTCCAGGAAGTCTGTGTCATCCAATCTACAAGTAAGAAAAAAGCAGGCTTTCCGCGTGCTAGTGACGGTATACATCCATCCAAATACCATTTTGTTACCTTAAGCTATGCTGCAGGTAGACGAAATAGACGAAACTAAGAATGTAGGCCCGGTTAACATACAAGTATTACCCTGTTTGAAGATGATACTAGGAAGCACTGATTTCCACCAGGGGGCTCAGATGCCTATTCAGATGCCCCTACCTACTAGTTACGGTCTCAGACTGAAAAGTAAAATTCTGATCGTTCGGGCTGGGTAAACCTATCCCTTATATGCTAAGTCTTCCGATAAGGCACTTACACGCGACCCCATGGAGGCTGTTGTATTGAAACTTATCACATACTGCACGCTTTACCTTTAGTAGGACGGTAAGAGGATATCTATAGTCTTGGCAATCTCCTCTTTATTATCAGATTGTATGACCCGATTGACGTTCAGAAAGAAGGGTGCCCGGAAGAATATTGATCTTCAAAATGTTCACCCAAAGTCTGATGCTCTATTCCGGATTACGATCAATGTCCAATTGACGGGAGGTAATCAAGCCAAGACGAAGATGTCTAAATCGAGACGTATTAGTATTACATTGCCGTAATGTATTATGTTCTTTTTTTCGGGGTTTGTTATTGATGAGTGTAGGACAAAGAATGAGGTCCACATTTACTCAAATACTAATTAACTGTTATAATTTATATTATTAATCAGTATTCTCCCAGACATAGTGGCTGGTAATCATGATCGAATGAACACAGTAAGAAACCTAACATGCGTTGGTTTGTAATGTCGTTGAATATGTCCATACTAGATATGTCTGAACTATGAGTTCTCATACATTGGATGCTAGTTAATACAGTCTTTCATTATGATTCTATCTGTATTTAGGGCAGGCATCTTCAGTGGATTGGTTTGTCATGCTTATTACTCAGATATCAAACTGCCACCCTGTTTCACGAGACTATGTCCTGCTGTGCTAGGAGTAGAGTAATAATAGCAGTTGTTCCTGGGTCACCTTGTACTTTTGTAGAAGTAGTGGAAGAAATTATTAAGATTCATGAATTTCTGCTTGAAGTAAGAAGCTCCGGCAGCACTAGCTAGAGAGGCTACAAGAAGTTTGGTTGATCTACATTCATCTTGTATATGATTGTCAAGGGAACTAGGCGAGGCTATATTATATAAATAAGACTATATTTGCGATGGCATAGTATTATGTATATAGAGATACATGTTATTCATACTTCCTTTCTCAAAAGCGACCTTTTAAACTGTTCTAGCAAACAAGCCTAATACTGATCAATCACGAGAGGTTAAGTAGTTACACTTACACTCCTTAAGCACACCTCTCCCACGTTCGTTGGGCGTGTCAGTCCCATAAAATATGTGTCGGTTTTCTGTGTTGTCACAAGCAAAGGAGAGGCAGAAGCCGCAATTTAAGTCCGGAGTCGTGAAATAAGCTCTGATAAACTATTCAAGAACATATACCAGCGTAGCCAAGGGTGTATTTCGAATACTGCGGCCCGCTGGCGTGCATATAAATATTAGGAAGAAGCAATCGCATTTCACTGAGCTTGTCGAGTTGGTAGTCAATACCAGTGTGGGGTGCTTATCACGGCGAAATTCGTATTATTAAATGAGTGCCACCAGCAGGTTATCCCTGAAAAGCTGCAAGGCCGCCAAATAACATCATTTGAGATAGAAGTATAGCACAAGGTGGGCACGGAACTCCCTCCACGAAGCAACCATATGCAGTTGCATCATCCGCGCGAGAGTCTCAACAAAGAATGCGCATTGGCGCGCCGGAGCGGCATTGCAACTACAGGCGTTCATGACCAAAGTAAAGATATTGGATACCCCCCTTCTTGTTTTCCAGCAAGTCTAATATGCTGACCCAAGGTATCGACGAACCAAAAGGATATTGTGACATGAAAGATTACTAAAAGATCGATTAAAGAGTGGTTGGAGCTGACGCATTCAAAACCGCCATAACCGCGTATTATTTGCCCCTGCAGTGCCGGTCGCTGTGAGGACATTCCTCTCCAGGCCCCCATAGATTGTCCTCCATAGCCCTATCATTTGGCATGGCCATATGCGTGGATCAAGTTACAGCCACCTTTTACGTAGTTCCTTTCTCGAAAGAGTTCATGTCCTCCGACAATGCAGATGCATATCGACACATAGCTCACACCTTCTGCCTATCTCCCATACTCCAGAATTACCGCTTTTGGCTCGCGCATGTGGCCTCTATTCGACCAGAAGGCTAATCTACAATACATGTTCGCGGCCAGAGCTGGGTAACAACGTTTTTGGCATTATATCCATGGGCCGATGTCAGTGCTTCATCCAAAAGTACTTAGATAAAGTTAGGAAGTAGTTGGTGAGGTAATATTTGGAGCAAACAGGTTCTCGAGCGTGTTCTGACGCCACTTGCTAGTCTCTCCCAGTAGGGAGCTATCTAGGATTGAAGGCCTCTCAAGGCAGAGAAATCCAATATTTTCTGTTGGAAGTGATTAACTGAAATACTCTAAGTAAGAGATGCCACAGTAGCCTTCCATAGCCACAGCAAAATCGCTCTATAGAGATTTACATAATTCCTGTAGTAAAAGAAACAGCCTCAATACTTGAAAAACATATTTTCCAACCCACAGATTATTAACCATTACAATTAATATATTCGCCGCCTATCCTAATAAGCTAATACTTGGCTAATATAGACTGGAAGCTCTATTATTATATCAGCGAAGTTTCTATATTATTATACACTTATAGACTGTAGTCTTCTTAAAAAAGAAATTATATCAAGATACAAAATGGTATAATATATAAATAAACTATACCTTAGATATTTTTAGAGCAATAACTGCACAGAAAAGATAATTATCTATTTTAAAACCTGTGATTCACTATATTTCAATACCACCTCAGAGGCTATGACAGCGTATACAAGCAGAACACCAGGTTATCCACCAAGAAATAAAAAGGAGAAAGAGCAATAGAAGGCCAGGCAGCCAGATATAGTAGTATGGCGTCACGACATTACAGCTGGTCACCCCTTGCATATGGCTACAGCGCAGACAGGTTTCATAACAATCCCCACGTATCTAACCCTGTTCTAAAATTTACTCGCAACGTGGCAGGACATATGGAGTACCTTCCGCTTCTGTCGAAGGGATGGCATTGGTATTAGACCGACGGTAGCTTTTACTAGACCAGCTTGAACAAGATGAAGCTCCTGGATAGTCTGAGAAAGGGAAGTGAACAATCGAATCTGCCGGACCAGAGTGCGTAGCCCCACGATTATTACATTCCTCATTATCACTCTCGACCTACACTCAATCTCACTGGAAACAATACTAACTGTCCTATAATTATTCCGCTTGGCTGCACCGCTATGCGATGGAGAAGATCACCCTCGTTGTCCCCGCCCACACTAACAAGAAAAGTGTACATATCCGACTGCGCATATTTACAACAGATACCAGTCTTTTCGAATATGGCAAGATCTATGCCATGAAAGCAAACACCAACTTTAAAGACAAGTGCAGAGAATTGTAGATTTAAACATGGGGTACGCGCCTGTCCCGGTAAGTCTCACGCAACACATTAGATCAACATCGTTCTCGCACACATTGCCCTGAAATATGACTGGCGCTTCCCCGATGGAAACTCCCGCTTTGCCAAAAAGGATACTAGACAGGACTTGGTTTGTGACTAGACCGCAAAGGTCTTATTTAAGGCACGGTAGGCGAGTGGTTTTTTTTCTTTCTTTTCTTTCTTTTTCTTTTCTTTTCTTTTTCTTTTCCCTTTTTTTTTTTTCTGTTGAAGTTCCCTCTTCAGTATATTCCTACAACGATCCCAATCAGCCAAGACAACCTGATGGAACCGGCAGACATACTAGATGGTTGTAAAACATAGTATGAGATGCGCCAACGAAACAGGTCACAGTCTAGTCAAATTCGTAGGGCAGGAGAGACGTGGTGTTCTACAGCTTCCAGTAGAAGTAATAGTGGAATCATTTGAGCCCCTATATAACAGGCTACTAAAGCAAGCCCCGTTCGGTGAACAGAGCTAAGAAAGTGGCTCTTCATCAAGGAACTAGAGCGATTATCTATGACCTTTCGAGATGTGTTACGGACATGAACAGCTGTTCGAAGGGAGAGGGAGAACTTGTGATTTTTCCATATGTTACTGACTCTTGTGAATCTTATTGCATAGTGATATCGGGATGATTGTGCTGTAGTGAGCATTAGACATCATGCACACTATGTGGCTGTGATCTGTCTATCTTTTCCATTATCCTGCGCCAATAGAAGACCAAAATGGTATGACACGTGAACCCGAAATAGAGAATCATCTATGTAATTGCCTCCTCCGATTCTTAGAATTATGGTCACCTCTTTGCGTGTGGTCCTGGCTATCGTCCGCCGTATTCCTGGTACACAAGGGCGCGCTCCGGCCATTGGCCGCAGCGCGAGCCACAGGAACAATTGATATGCTATAGAACTGTCTAAAATGAAATATTCTCCTACCACCTGTCAGTTACAATGACTGGATTCCATTGGCGAATAGCAACAAGCCAAAACCTGTCGTAAATGCAGGCAGATAACTTCTCTTATACCAGGCTTTTGATCCAAACTGGTTCAGATTATTACATACCAAGATTTGACATATACCTAGAAGGCACGCAGAAATATTAGCTTTATGGAAGAAAGATATAAATAGGATCTATCATCCATCCCCCCTGCTGCATTGGGAGTCCTAAATCCCACAGCTGTATCTCTACATTCGCGAAACACTCCATCAAGCTCAGCTATATACAGCGGTACCGCGCAACACTGGACCTGACCTGCCTATTAGCGCCTATACAATCCCATCTAATGCCTTCATCCTATATCCGTTCCCCAGTACGGCGCTTAACCGCACTCTCTACCCAAATCCATTTCGCTGGGATCCCGGCCGCACAGGACTTAGTCCAGATATAGCGGATTCCAAAACTTAACTAGCACGTAATTCGGCTGAAATCACCAAAAAATAGATTAGTTCTAAATCAAGTACCAACTCAGAAACTAGGCCGTAACCACGTGATGGGAACTGTAATAGTACTACGGAGTGACTTCAATACTTGGGCATACCCGAACCCCCTTTCCATTCCACGCAACTTTTCTTTCATTATCTGCTAAGCCTATATCACAAAGCCCATGCCCAGATTGCTAAAATGGCTTTTCTTAATTGGCATGCTAGCATTATGCTTAACAGGCATACATACCAAATACCGAATCCCCTCTCGAGAACTCTTTCATCTTTCTCCCTGCCACTTATCTGGCATGGTCACCGGTCATCACTTTATAACACTACTCCACAACCTTACATGAAGAAGAAGACGCTCCAACTTCCTTCTAGGCTCTTATTATCAACATTACTGCGCACTAGTCTTGGTCCTCAAGACTCTAAACGTACTCCATGGTGGCCCCTTAGATGGAATGATGCCGACTTAATCGAGAAGAATATGCATGATTTGGGCTTCCAGACGTGGGGTATTGTTATCTACCGTTGCACTTACAAGAGCGACTCTGACTGGGAAGAATTCTTGTCTCGCTTTCTCCACAAGGTTCGGACGTCACTAAAATCTTACGATGGTCTGGACTTGCTTGATTCCTTCAGGCCGACAGTGATGGACGACAAGACACAGTTCGACGGGGTGACTCCGAACAGTGTACGGGATCATTTCAATAGGTGGTCTGCTACCGCGTGTGAAGCTGAGCAAGGAGTTCCACTTACTGACTACCGGTGGCATTCCACGGCACGGTACGGACTTTGCATCATGGTGGATGAGGAATCTTTGAGGTCTGTTCTGGACATCCCGCTTGAGTCGTTGAATAAATGGAATAACAGCGGATTCGTGATTCTTGTTAATGGTAGGCATGAGGTGGACCGGGCTAGTATAGAGGAATCTGATGAGAAGATAGAGGATGATGACTATGAGCCTTTACATGGATGCACATATGAAGATGTTGGCTGGATGAAGGTGTGCTATGATATGGCTCAAGTATATGCTTGCGCTCATTTGGGAGCAAGCTCTTGGTGGGAGGAGGACTATAGACGGCCTCCTGAAATTGCCCTTGGGTTGATATAAAGATTTTCTTTATATATAAGGGCTATCTTTTATATTTCGTTGTCCTGTATAATCTTGTAGATTATATATTAAATGCTTAAATATACTGCCTGTGCCAGAGGGATAATACTAATAGCATCCAATAGTTGAAAGGAAATTCTCTCAGGGAGAAAAGTAATCCATTCAAAACATTTCATTTTTTGAAGTATTTGTTATCTTATAAACCGATATCTTACCAGAACTAGACTTACCAGACTCGAGATATTTATATTGTGAAAGTCTATTGATTCTTCGTACAATTAAGAAAAACATGGAAACAATAGAGTAATAGTATGTATTATCATACTTTTCATGTCTGAAATATACTTATTATTTATGCCATATATTATTTCATATATAAAACAATCCAAAAAGGTTTACATATCATCTGTTACAGAGACAAAGATTAAGAAAATAAGAAAGATATATCGAAGTAAGTATTATAAAGAACCAGAGATAAAGATTAAAGAATCTAAGGAGATATATTAAAGCAAGTGTTGGAGAGAAACAGGGACAAAGGTGGAAAAAAAACAAAGAGGTGCGTTGAAGCGAGTGTTACAAAGCAAATTGGAGACATGTATGTGTATTATTGGTGATACAGACCCCTAATGTTTGATTTGGAGATTTTTGTTATCCCGTGGGTACATATGGCCAATCAAGCACGCTGAATGTAGGTATGGGGAAGCCTTCTATTTACAAAACGTAGAACACCGACGTTTGTGAAGTCACTCTAGCCCTAGTCTGTCTTATACTGATCTTTTCATAAGCAGCAACGGATGTCAAGATAATCGCCGAGTTGATTCCCACGATCTCACCCTAGCATTAGATCTAAAAGTTCCACTGATTCAACCAATTGACCACCTGAGCTGGTGACACCGAACCGAGTGATGCCATCGTTTTACTCCCCTTCTTCGACCGTTCCACGCTGACGTCCGCAGACAAGACATCTGCGTTGTCCGCCAGGCCATGGAAGAAGGCTAGAAGCTTCAGTGCGGGTTTATCTTGCACGTCGCGATCGGACGGATCCTGGATGGTTTCGAGATCGGCGACCCAATCGACGAGAGGAACGGGCTAAACGGCGTATCGCTCTTGGATCGCGGAGACGAGAGAAGCCCAGGTGGTCCGGCATGGATTGACCAGATGGAAGACTGCGTTGCGTGTATCCGCGAGCGAGGCGCGGCGGCCGAGGACGAGTTCGTTTACGATTTGCGCTAGGGCATCCTGGTTAACTTAGTCAGTGACATTCATTACGGGTGGGTTAGACAGTAGGAGATAGGGTGAGGTGCGCACCACTGACACCCAGTCGATGGGGTACCCCCCGAGATCAGACGGCACTTTACCCGTCGCCTTCGATGTCTTGATCAAGGACGGGATCCACTCGTGCGGATTCCAGACTCCCAATCGCGTGTCGGGACCAGCGATCTGTCCCACGCGCAGGATACTGGTCGGCACGCCGGCCGTCTTCGAAGCCTCCACGCAGATGCTCTCCCCGATATACTTGGACTCTCCGTATCCCTGCTCTAGCGCGGCTTCCGCCGTCTCCATCGGAACTTCGGGGACGGCCGTGACCTCGTCGCTGGGCTTCCAGGCCCCAATCGTGCTGACTGAGGAGACAAAGGCAAGATGGGCCTGGTAGCGGCTCCTCTGGCTGAAGCGCACGAACTCCCGGACACCCTTGAGATGCGGGTCCTCGAAGGAAGACACGGGATGGTTGAAGTTGACCTTCCATGCATTGTGGATGATCACATCAACCGTGTCGAGGAGCTCCTTGTATTGTCGGTCGGAGAGGCCAAATTGGGGTTCTCCGAAGCGGACATGCAGGAACTCGACCTTGTTTGGATCGTCCAGAGGAGAAGTCTGCAGTCCTTTTTCCTGGAAGCCTTCCTTCTGTCGCGTCTGAGAATCTTCGGTTCGGTTGAAGCAGTAGACCTTTGTTACCTGGGGATTGCGCAGTAGGTCGTCAAGAATATAGCTGCCCAATGATCCGGTAGATCCAGTGAGAATGACAGTGAATAGGGCAGGCAGTTGAGGAAGGATATCAGATTTCCGATTGTGAAGATCATTCGTATACTTAGCGATCAACTGCGCAATCTTATTAGAACGAGATACGGTGGTAATTGGACACGATGTTTTGTCAAGGATCCCTAACAACAGATTAGTGAGTCCCTCTACAGTTGGGTGCGCATAGATCTGCTGGACATTGAGATGCTCGGTATTCAACCGCGGATTGTAGGTGAAGACCGAATTCTTTACAATCTTGCTCAACTGAATTGCCTGCAGTGAGTCCAGGCCCATGCTGTAGAGGTCGTCACTGGGTCTGATGCTTTTCCTTCCAGTGAGCTTGCAGATAATGTTTTGTAGATATTCACAGACAGTGTCCGGGGTGATCGCTGGTGGCAGGCCCATCACCAGTTGCCTATCTTGGGAAGCGTAAATCTCCTCAATTTCCTCGGCATAGTCCTGATTCACGGTATGCCGTTGTGTAGTACCTTTGGCGGTGAGTTTGAAGGGTTTCTCACGAGATGAAAGGCGGATCATGGTTTTCAGGATCTGGCCATAATCAGGAACGGTCTTGTTAGCCGCCTGAACCACTGGCCAAATCATGTTCACAAACTCCTTCTCTTCGATAGGAGTGGCAACCTTCTCGATATCCGACTCAATCAACAAGCATGTCTGGAATCTGCGTTGGCCGATAAGCAAAGCCCGATGAACCAAAGGATGGCCTTCCACGATCTTCTCCAACGAGATCGGGTTCAGCTTCTCTCCGTTGCTGAGCACAATCACATCATCAAAGCGTCCATGATACTTCCAGAGCTTCGGGTTGGTTGGGTGTCGGGTGTAGAGATCTTTGGATCGATACTCTTTCAGACCCGAGAACGTGTGAAAGATTCCATGCACCACAAGAGAATATTCCACCCGTGGTATAACCAGCTCGTATAGCCCGTCCCCAATCGGTTGCATATCAATTGGATAGGAGGGATTCCACTCGAAATACCCCCAGGCATCCTCTCCTTCGGGGACCATGGAGCATATGACCCCCATCTCGCTGGATCCAATGATCGATCGTAGTTGGGTGTATCTACCAAGCTTCTCGCCCACTTCTGGCGAAAGAGGAGCCCCACCATAACAAACAAACTTCAGAGTACTGAAGCACGTGAGAGCCTCGTCAGAATAACTCATGTCTTCAAGTATTGATGGTGGAAGAATTGTGACTGTCGGCTTTGTGTGGCGAATTAGATCGGTCAGAAACCCCACGGAAAGCAGCCTTTCAGGGCTCGCAACAAAGGGGATGTTGTGGAAGATAGATTCAAAGAACGAAACCAACCCCATCAAGTGGAAATACGGTGTGGATGAGAGAACAAGGTCCTTGGGGTTGGGATCATCAGAAGCCAAGTCATTTAAGAAAGCGGAGGACCGCCCCGGAGGACGAGGAATTGATGCGGCAAAATCTATCGTGCCCAGAAAACCATGGGTGAGAGGAACAGGCTTAGGCATGCCTTACTGAGATCGTTAGTACTGCATCTCTTAAGCTGTTTTGAGGATTAGCCACTTCATACGCACCGGTTGTTCCAGAACTATGGATTATAAAGGCAATCTCGTCTACCACCTCATCATAGGTCTTGGAGAACTCAAAGTGACTCGTGTCGCTTGCATTCCTGAGGATGTCCGCCACAGATGGCACCTCTTGGAATTGCATCTTCCAGTCCAATGTTTCCAATCTGAAAGCAATTGGGGACTTTTCTTGGCTGAAAAGTAGGTGCGAACACTTTGTTTCCATGAGAACATGGTTATATGCCTCATCCGACAGCCGAGTGGAAGGTAGAAAGATCTAGAAGTGAATCCGAATATTGATGGTTAATCGCAACTCGTAAATTTGGCATCCGGATAACAAACCGTATAGCCTGTCTTATGACACGCAAGCATAAAGATGATGTAGCGCACATCGTTGTTCCCCAGATAAGCGATCGTTTCTCCCGGTTGCGGCTTACCCAGAGTGTCATCGATCCACCAGGACATGGCATTGACTGCGCGGGAGAGATCCCAGAGAGTCACCTCCCGGAATCCTTGGCCGACTTCGGTGCCATTTGGAATCAGGCCAAATCGTCTATTAGGGGATTGCTTGGCAATAGTATCGACGTGGGTCACCAGAAGCCTTCCCGGAGCTTTGAATGCTCCTGGTGTTGAATTGGTGATACCGACCATGGTCGCTTGAAACGGACGTCAATTGGATGGAAGCTTTGTGCCTTGATTGCAGACTGTGCTTATACACAGGAATGACAAAGGGAAATAATCGTTGGAAGATATAGCATCGATACTTGCACTTCTGCCTCTTTAAATAACCTGAGGGACAGGGCGCTATGTACGGACGGGCGCGTTGAGGCATTTTTCTCTTTTTCCCATCCTGTATTCTGTATTCTGGATCCATCGCTTACGTGGTATGCTGTCCATTATCGGCGCATTAGTGTGACCCCCTAGTGCAGATCAGGCTTGGATTCCGATAGAGTTGGTTACAGAGATTCAGATAAAGTGATTATACACAGGTTCGGGTGCATAAAAGTTCCACTGAGATAAGCGGGGTCGGCTAATACTGCCGAGCCGGGGTACTTGGAGATAACTTGTACACCCAATGCAGTGCATATTCATGCTAAATGAACACTAAAATAATGAAACAAGCTGCTAATGCGTCACGTCACAATGCCTCAACATCAATTTCCAATACGGAATAACACTGTGAGAACAAGCTGTTATGGAAACAGTCTACATTTCACTGGACAATTACGACTGATTGGTGCAGCAAGCGAGGACGGATACGCCCGATACTTGAGTTTCTTTATACACTTTCAATCAACATATGCCGAACAAACAGAGAATGAGATCCACCGAAAATAACCACGAAGCAATGTCTATTCACTAGCTAGCTTGCTCTCCATAGTGGCGACCCATTCGACCGCATTTCTTCTGAACAACCAGATAATGCCGGTATTCGCCTACCCGATGACCGCCAAGCCAGTGCAGATCCATCTATTAGGCAAATGATGCAATAGTAACTACTGTACTAAAAATAGATCTGACTGGCTTGAAGATGTAATATAGATATAATATTCTAGATTAGAGTGGCTATACCTGAACGTTTCAACTAAACCATAACTTGACTCTTGTTTAACTCTTACAATATCCTTTACTTCCAGAGTATCCGCTACTAGCCTTCTACATTCGATGATTAATTAACTAGTCTAGATAATTGAACAGATTATTATAAATATTAAATACTATAGATCTTTCAAACTATAGACTTTTTATTGTCTAATGAATATAAAATGAGCAATCAGATAAATATAAAACTTCAGGAAAATATTTCCAAGTATTGCTATTCAGCAGAATATCAAACATGAAATCGAAGTTCACGGCGACACAGTGCGAGCAGGAAAAAAATCCCTAGCCATCATACCGAAGGATGACTGCGCATTTATTACGTTGAATTATGGAGAGCGACAGCTTCGCTTTCCATTTCCAACGCCCACGGTGGTTGATGGCCATCCGCTCAAAGCCGGCAAGTTTTACATGCGTTTCACCACCTACGACTCGTCACGGATGTATTTTGTCCAGATTATGGACGGATAGGCGGAGCTCATGCTGCAGCAGGATCTTTAATTAAAGAGACACAACGACCACCAGTGCAAGTTTCGCGTTTCCTGGGGCACCTACCGAGATACAATGGGACCTGAACGTTACTGTTAGAGTAGACTGTGACCAGGCTCCTCCTAATATTGATATCATTGGCCTCGGTGTTGTTTCTAACTGACATAGGATATGTTTCACGGCAAAAGTGATAACCACGATGCAGTCGCAAATTCCGATGTGAGCTTTGAATATATGATCGGCGTTGGTCATCTATCCAAATTGATTGGGTTTAGGTGCCATCTAGAGTTCCTTGATACTCAAAATAACCCTATCTTAGACTGCGGCCTCTTACCCTCTTTTGCTCCTTCAGTTTCATATAAACTTTTACGAGATAGGTTATAGTGTCTTACTGGCTAACGACCAGGCCTGCATGCCGAAAGTGGCCTCTGGCACTGTCTTGTCTTTCCCCAACTTGATGGATACAAAATCTATACAATACGGCGCGACGGATGGATTACTTTGTTTACTATGAGCCCTCATCAAAACTCGATGATAACCCGTAACCCACTGGACTGGGTCCAATTCCGTATTGCGGTCCGACTAGGTAAGCTAACTGTGAACGGCAATTGGAGACTACAACGATTAGATATTATTTCCACTTACAAATGTGCCATTTACGACCTCCTAAGAGACCTTGTAACCCCGCCAAGGCCCGTGTTGACCGATTGCCATGTGTGCGGGCCTACCTACTTACCCACGTGGTGCGGATGTGTGCGGTCCTTAAAAGTGAGATCTAAATAAGAGGAGAAGAGAAACTATACCGCAAAATAGGATTCTAAAACAAAACCATCATGCCTGGAAGCAGCACGGCCTCTGATCTTTGACATCGATCTCTCGCCACAGGACAACGGATATATGCTTCCATTCCTAACCAGCTTCTCAACCCCCTATATCCAGTGCAGTTACCATTCAAAGATCAATCATGCCTCAGTTCGAGCATACATGTCATGACATATAAACGGTGTACCCTATATTAACACATAAAATTCTTCGGATGTTTGGCTCCCAGCAGCTCCACTAGTGTTGGGGACCCACTGGCCATCGCCTACTGTCCCAGTCACCCACCACTAGGTCACTAGTATATATATCTCGTTGATCATTTCAATACCTCGGGGTCAGCGTCGTATGATAGCTGTTCCTTGTGTCACCCATGAACTTATATATTGTGGCTATAGTACTGAATCTACAACCAATAATTCATCGCTTCAAAGGTTCTTTGCGGATGCCGAATCAGGAACCACTCGTGGATCCAATAACATCCAATCAGATGAAGTTGATACAGGATTGCTTAGTATATGTTATCAACTATAAGATTAAGCAGAACCAACGTTAAGTGGATAAGATGGTTAATTGAATTGAACTAGCACACTCCCTGGGGGAGGTTGAAGTCCCCCGTGACTATCTCTGGTACCCGGTGTTGCGGTTACCAAGTTACCACATAATCCAAATTACTGTACAAAAAACAAGGAAATGTAACGCTCCCCTTCAACACAGTCCATATCAGTAGCGCTCCATAATAAGCTTTGTCTTGAGAGAATCCTTTGCGAGAAACCACCCATTATTCTTTAAGCAGGCGACTAACGTTTCCTGCCCAGTCGAGGCTGTCGCACGATCTTTTGTCTTAAAAGAAGCCTCCACGCTATGCTCGATGTCCGTTCCTTCGGAGTTCAGGAGGGGCCAGACCTCTATATATAGCGGTATTCTCTTCCACGAGCCAATATATCGACTGAAGAGGACTGGGCCGAAGATGCGTGACACTGCTATTGCCTCAGTGCCCCATTCATTGAATTTAAAGTTGTTAAACCTGTCCGGTGCTTCATCAATAAGCATTCTTCGAGATTCAATTATTCCCGGTAGGTCTGTTCCGCTATCATCAGAAGCCGCTCTCTTCTTACGGCTGATAGAAAGTGTCTGCTTCTCGTATCCCCATTCGACTTGCGCCTCGTAGTTCGTAGTGCCGGTATTAAAACCATCGTTATTAGCTATAGTAAGAGCAGTGTCGATGTCACCGCCAGTTATAGCATACCGCCTCTTATAATTTAACTCGAATTTATCGTCGCCTTCAGCTTTGCGGATACGAATGCTCCAGCCGGCTGTGTATATTTCCTTAGAGCATGTGTCGAGGAATTGGACATTGAGCTTGGTGGCAGTTTGGGGCATAGTGGCAGTCGAGGGTATACCGAAGGTGGACAGGACGGTGCCCATTAGCTCATTCTCAGGGTTTAGGACCTTGGCTGGGTTGAGTAAGAGCCTGATCTCGTAGTCGGGCGTCATATTTTGCTCTGCCAGCGCAGAGTCTACAATACCGGTCATAGTGAAGGGGCGGCGCGAGGAAAAGATGTTTGGAATCTGGCACCCATGAGCCGAACTTGAATAAGGCATGAGCCCCCAGAGTAATAGTAGAACCGGCCTGTCTTAAATACAGCAGTGGTCAGTTGGAATTTTTCAAGAACCAGGGTTCTGTATGTCTAGTATCTAAGACATCTGTTCGAACGAGCTATTAAGTGATAACACACCATATTTACAAAAAGTAAAAGGCCCATAGCCATGCCGAAATCGTGAATTCTCAAACAATATCGACATCCGCATTTGTCGGAACTTTGTGCCACCCGATGCCACTGAAATTATACCTAGAACGCATCATATCGAGAGACTTGGTCGCTCGCAGGAAACGAGGTAGACTTTGGCCCATTAGCATCTAGGCACTTAGAGAATCTGCCCTTCAAAATAAGCATATCCTGCATTTTTCTATGCCAAAAACTTCATGAATGGGATTAGGCAAACTTTCGTATAGCTACGTGGATCTTGCCCCGCTGACCTCCGGTTATTGTCCGCAAACGGCGCCCGTTCTGTCAGGTAAGGGCCGCAACCACGGTGCGCGCAACGTAAGTGCACACGTCAATTACACTTTCAATATATCCTAAATTATCGCGCCATATGATGTTCTCTGGGAAAGCAATAATGACTCTTAATCTCCAAAACCTCTTTCTGACAGGCCTGCGACATAAATCCGCATTGGAGGACCGATACGAACATAACCGCGCGAACGTCCAACATACTCAACCTCTAACCAGAAACATTAACCCGGGATGGATGACATGGTTGTTCCCATCTCGATTTTGTTTCGTTTCGTATCAATAACTTAATCTGAGATTACTACTACACTCCTTCGCAAGTCCGTCAACACCTGTGATACTCAACCCTGATAGCACATTTAAAACCTGAACGCAGACTTAAGAAGCAAACTGGCACTCATGTGGAATTCTTTGATATGGGCTATCCTTGTTGAATTTAAGGCCCCATTTCATTAATAAAGAAGATCTGGACTAAGACCAGGGATGAGCCTTCAACCTATTCGACTAGGCCTTTTGTCGAGGCATTCATGTAGGCTAGTCACATGCTGTGCTTGGACTGCCCACAAAGCACCTCTTCTAGTTACTTTATTTTGCTCTTCTAGATAGCTGAATTTAATTTACTCTTTTATCTTTATTTTTATTTATTTATTTTTACTTTTGTTGCTGCTTCTGTAGAAGTATTTTTTAAGAAATTATAAGTCTAGTCTTTATATTATAAAGCTATTCAGATTTATTACAGCTAGTTATTTATTATTAAATATAATATTCTATAAATTACTGGTCTTGGCAAGCTTAACAGATCTAATAAAATTATATATTTATATTAAGAAATATACTTACCTGTTTATCTATCTATTTATATTAAGTATATTAAGCTACTAATATAATATATAAAATTAGATATAGAATCTTATTTAAAAATCTCTTTTTAAAAGAAAAAATAGTTATTCCAGCTAAAATATAAGTAGATTAATTATTTAAGTATATTTTTAATAATATTCTAGAACTGCTGCTTATATTAAAAGAATATATTAATTAATTAAAATAAAATTTCTAAGTATAACAGATATTTAAAAATATCAGTTTATAAAATATAATTAATAAGAAACTTACTAGACTTGAAAAAGATTATATAAAATATAAAATCTAATATATTTATTTAATAATTATATAATTATAATTAATCCAGAACTTATCAAGCAAGGTATTAAATTTATTTATAGATTATATTAATATAAAAGAACTGATAGATAACATATATTAAGTATTTTAAAAAATTATTTTAAATAATAATATTATACTTTGCGGGAGCATTGTATATAACTTTATTAAATTAAAAAAATCTAAATATATTTTAATAATTAAATATATTAATAACTACTAAGCAAACTATACTTTTTCTAAAAATTTATATTATAAGATATTTTTCTTTATAATTATATTACTACTTCTTCAGAAATTATAGAATAATATATTTGTGTAGGTTATCTTAATAGAAAATAAAATATTAAATAATAAAAATATAATTTATAATAATAGTAATTTTTATATAATCTGTAGGAATGTGAGAGAATAATATAATAAAATTTATAAGAAAAAAATAGCTGTTATTATATAAAAAGATTAGAAATTATTATATAAGCTAAATACTATTAAAGAAGAGTAGAAGAAAACTATATATTTTATAAAAAATATTTTTTATAAAAAGTACACTACTAGAATAAGAAAAATAATATCTGAATATATTAATAAAGTTTATAATTATTATAAATATTCTAACTATAATTAAATAAAATATTAATATATTAATATAATCTCATATCTAAAATTATAATAATTATATATTTTAAATATTTAGTTCTTCAGGATCTGCACCAACTAGTATAAATTATAATAAAGAAAAATTAGATTTAAATTTAAAAAATAATTTTAAAATAATATTTATATTTATAAAACAGATAACAGAGATATTTATTTAGTATATTATTTTATATAAAACAGGATCAGATAATAAAAATATATATTTTTTAATTTTTTTAAAAATAGTAATTAAAAGTATTACTAACTATTTACTATACTAGATTTATAATATAAATAATTCTTTATATCTTATACCTGACTATATTTCACTAGACTATTATTATAAATTAAATATTTCTAACTACTATAAATACAGAATAGTTAATAATAAAATCAGTATTACTAGATTTATTAATTATTAAATCCTAATCTTATCAGCAAATAATGAATATTATAAGATTAAAATTAAAGTATTTTATTAATTAAATCTTATTTATAGTTTTTTATCTGTAATTCTTTTATAAAAGAATTTTAAAATATATATAAATATATTAGACCTGACCCTACGCAGGAAGACTGATAATAAAATAATAAAATATTTATAAGAAAGTAAAAATATACTTTTTATATATATTCAGAATATAAGAATAATTTTTATTATAATTTATTTTTTATTATTATATTAGTAATACAGGCACGCAGAATTTTATAAAATTATCTCTATTATAAAGAATTAACAGATTAAACTTAAATATTATAAGAATCTATATTATAATATATGCTTTCTAGAAAAAGCAAAATATTTAGTATTAAGAAATTTTATTTTAAAAATCTTTAATCTTATATAATTTTAATATGCAGACATGCAGCAGGTAACCTTAATTAATTATAAAAAATTTAAATATTTTTTAGTAATAGTAAATAATATTATCTAATTAGTTAGAATAATTATATTAAAATAGAAAGATAATATCTCTATAAAGCTAATTCAGATAAATAATAAATATAAGAATATAGTTAATAGATATATTATTTTATGATATTTTAATAAAAACTATAAGTTTAATAGATTCAAGAAATAAATATATCCTAAAGATTAAGAAATTTATATTATTATATTATTTTTCTGAATATCTAAAGTAAATAGTTTTATTAAGTATTATAGTAGCTTATTTAATTAGATAAGCAAAATCATAATCTTTGATTTAGATTTATCTGTAATACTCTAGTTATTTACTATAAAATTTATTATATAAATCCTTAACTGTCTAGTTCCTGCAGAAAGTAAAATTAAATAAATATTTATTTATTTATGTAGATTATTTTATAACCTCCTGAATTTATATGTCTTGCTTAAGTTTCTATATATATTTAGATATTATTACTATTAATATATATCTGTAGAGAATTATATTATCTTTAAAAAAATAAATTTCTATATTAATACTAGCTATTTTATCAGATTTAATAAAGATTATAATTATATATATCTAATATAATATCCTGGTTTAAATAAGATTAAATACTCAAGAAATATAATATTCTATAAAGAATATATATATAAGAATGATCATGAAGATCCTGATAATATAATTATTATATTTATATTTATTTTTAAGAGTCTAATTATATTAATACAAGATACCAGGATCAATTTTAATAAAACAATTATATATAATATATAGAATATAATTAATTATAATAAAGCTTTTCTTATACTAGATAACATTACTAATCCCATATATAAAAAAGTAAAGATTATATTTATATTAATTAAATTTATTATATCTGTCCTTCCTGCATCTACTAATCTAATTTATTTAATAAAAAATTCTTATAATTATAAGATATTATCTACTAAATATATGAAATATAATTTTTAATTTATTAAATCTAAACCTTCTACCACTACAGTGACTGTGCTGAGGTGATTATGATATATTATAAAAAAAAATTCTTTATAATTAAAAAATAAATAAATAATTATATTAGAGTAGAAATCTAAATCTGATTTTTTTTTTTATTTACTTTTAAATAATACAAGATTAATATATTAAATATTTATATAAAAGCCATCTTATCCCTGCTTATCCTGTACTGGAAAACAACTATAATTATATAAACTAATAAGATTAAATTAATAAATATATATAAGATAGTTAACTGCCCTGCTGGTATCCATATAATTTTAAATAAATAAATATTTAATCTGAAGATTAATATAAAAAAAATTATTATATAATTTTATATACACTGAATGGTTTACAGTAATTATTAAATATCTAGTATTAATTATATTAAATCCTTTACTCCAGTAGCAAGTGAGATTATTCTTAAAATATTTATAATTAATATAATAATAAAGAGCCTCTGTTAGAAATAATATAATATTATCTTTATTTATTTATATATTTAAATAAAAAATAAGCAGGGTTATATAAGATAATTAACTAGATTTTATAAACATTCTTTTAAATAAGTATATTTACTTAAAATAACTTTTTACAGTCTGCAGCAGGTAGTATACCTGTAAAATTATATTTTTAATAAAAAATTATAGAAAATTAGATTTAAATCTCTACTAGAGAATTTATATATATATAAAAATAATAAAATATAATTTATTATTTATATAGATAATTCTATTATCACTAGCTC